CGCGATTTTTTTTTTTTAATTTTTTTGCCTCCGGCGCTTTTTTAGCATTTCCCATCTCTTTTTAAATACTAACATCGCGTTCAGGATTAAACAATTCGCCCATTGCTGAGAAAATTGCATGGAATCGTGAGGTGTGGTTTGGGTGCCTTTTCAAAAAAGTGAATCGCGCTAGGTACCCTTGGTAGTGCTCCGTTTTCCGGCCATAGTGGGGAATGTTCTCCTTTAGATCACGCCATAGTCTCTCTATTCGCTGTGTATTGGCTCCCGTTTCAGGGTTGACGAAGTTTACTGAGTGATTAACGGTCATGTGAGAGTAGTTCGCATCCTTTAAACCATTGTATGACTTCCAGCAGTCGGATATAATTCTGGTTCCATTGGCGATGTTGGCCTCTATAATTGGAAGGAGCGTTTCCTGGCTACGGTCCTCCACAGGCACCAAAAAAAAGTCACCGGTTTCTCTGCAAATTCCTCCGAAAACCCACTGGCCATCCACCACGCGACCGCAATTATACTTGCGCCGGCCAATTTTGGTTTCGTCAATTTCGACGGTTAAACCGTCTCCACCTATTATTTGTTTTGCGTTCTTCTTCGTCCAGCTAAGATAAATTTCCCGAAGAAAATTACTCCAATCAACCACCGTCTGTTGGGACCAGCCTAGTTCTTCCCGAAGGAATGAGATTGTTGAACCCTTCATCTCCCAAGCCACAAAATTACAGGCCTGTTCAATGCCAACGTGGGACTTGCTGAAGAATGTCCGTTTGATGGCGGATTCCTTACAAATATAATTTAAAGCAATATTTTTTTTAAATTAAACAATTGTTACCTTAAAGGAGCATTGAACTTTTCTTAATTTTCGTTTCTGTTGATGATTACTTATCATCCTGCGGCACCTCCAAAATGGCGTACTAATCGGTCTCTTCGCATTGAAAGACAATGTTGCGGGCTTACTGCAGTTGGGACAGTCCTTGCTCTTTAGAACAACTCCATGTCTCTGCAGAAATGCAAACACTTCTTCTTCGTCCATGGCAAGAAAGTCTTTATAAGAAATAGTGCACCCGTTGCAGGAATCCATAGTAAACAAAAATCAAAAGTGCCATTTCTGATTAAGCAACAAAAGCCTACTTGTTTTTTATAGCAAACCCATAAATTCCTAGAAAATGCTACATTGTTTTTATAGCAAAATGACACAAAACACCTCAAAATCCTACTTTGTTTTTATAGCAAAACACGCAACTTTGAAATGCAATTACAAGAGAACCATGCATTTCCGCAAATAATCTTCTGCACGTAAATTCCTAAGAAATCGCGGTCCATCGAGGGTAATTTTTTCGCGGTTTTTGGTGCTCAGGCCGCTCTTCTAGACTATTACCCAATAAAGTGATTACTTAGTATACCTACTAACTTATATATTTCTTAATTGTATTTTACAAATTATTAATTTCCAAATGAGTTGCCGTTACTAAAAATTATAAATTTATATTAGTTTAAATAGAAAACAGTATGAAAAAATTATACGATTTAAAAAAAATTGTGTATAATATTTAAAAGGAAACAATATGAATGCTAGAACTCAATATAATATATCAAAATAGTTAATGACATATAATTAAATTATTAAACTTTAAGTTCAAAACCTTTGCCCCAGAGACCCTGAAAAGTCAAATTTTCCAGCACAACCTTATTCTTTCCACTTGATATTTTTCCATGTGCATTGCGTGGGATTTGGCGTGGCAAGAGTCAAGTGTGTTCCCAACAAAAGTGTTGAAAATACCGAGGGGAGGGAAATGAAACCAAACCAACTGGCAGCATGTTGACAGCACATACGCCTCCCCTTCCCCGTTGGGCCAGTACAAAGTTATAGTTATGATGATTGTTGATTTAGAGTTTTTAGTTTTTAGTTTGCCAGATGGGCCAAGGAGGGATTTGTGTAGCATGCAATTAATTTTGTAGCCCGACTTCAAAGGAGCTGAAAGGAGCCGCCCGTGGACAGATGATGACGACAACTCGGCAGCTCTGTCAATGGGGGCCTTTGATGCCGTGCCTCCCCAACGGATCCCCATGGGACCTCTGACAGCAGCGCTAATGGGAGATGGCGAGGCGGGAGGGGGAAGCCCCTGTGCCGGCCAAAACCAATTCGAACTCTTTCTGTTCCCATGGCCGTAACCCGAGACCTCGGAATGTCAAATTCTTGCGTGCACTAAGAGAAAATTGTTTTATTGCCAGAAGAAACGTAGGTCAATTTGACCTTTTTTAAGATCATTTTTAACTTGATATGGGGCCAGGTAAATGTGATATGGTCGAAAATGTAAGAACGTTTGCTTAAAAATATAATATTTTTATAATTGAAATTCCGGTTACCTTATACTTACCCTATTTTCTGACTGTGTAAATTTCCCCCTTTCATGTGCTCATGCTGTGGCCGACTGCACTGGCCGCCTGTCAATGGGAGAAGTCTTCACTTGACTCCGCCGCTCTTCTTGCGGTTGACATTCCCGACTGGCGGTCGTGCCTATGGCCTCCTCTCCAGTTGGCCCCCATTCCTGCGCTTTTCCCGGTCCTCTGCCCCTGTGACAAGTGTGGCTTTGATGGGACACCAAATCGGACTGTCGGTTTGATAAGCTGACAGCGAACCAGAGCACAAGTTGACCGCCATTGATGGGGCTTGAACTTGGGATGCGACGAGGATGCGGTTTAGATGAGGTTCAAATGGAAGCTGCGGTGTCCTTGATGGTTATAAGTTCACGGTTAATACAATAAATTCAAAAACACATGTAAAATGTTATTTAATATGGATAAAGTGGGAAAAAAGCATTTCCAAATTTTTCTTTTTACCAAAACTTTTTAAAAATTTTTAAAGAAGTTACACAATTATTTTCCAAAACTATTATACCTATAAATTTTCCAATTAAAAGAGCTTTTTTCCAATTAAACAACCCTTAAAAAATAAGTCCACGTGCAAACTATCCCAAAAATAATTGCAAAATCTAACCTCATCTATTCAGAACATGCCCATCCAGAATTAGCTTCATCTCATTGATCTCAACACTTTCCGATGATGAGTTATGCCATGGAAATACCATCGCGTCGTGTCACTTGTGGTTTACATATTGAATTTCCAATGTCTGACCAAAAATATGCGCATAAAAAGGTGAAACCAAACCCACCAGAAAGTATATCCTCCCAGGGTTCTTCAGTAGCTCACCTTCGGCATAAATAAATGCAGTTTTATTAACATGCAGCCAGGAGGGGAAGCCACCCACAGGGCACACATTCCTCCCCATTTCCCATTTCCACACACCTGCTTTCGGTTTTCCTTTGTCTACGTGTGCGGACTGATGAATGCAAACAGGTGACTTTGCTGCAACAACTGGCATCCTGCCATCCTTTGCGGAGCATCCGCAGTCGCATCCACATCCGCGGCACATCCTCAGAGACACTTGAGCCTCACTCGGCTTAAATGAAGTGCACACGCCGCCATGCACATCAAAGCATGCCGCCATTAGGCTGCTGCAGTCAACTAATTAGACACGCCCCTTGCCCCCAGATGCCATATTAAACCATAATTAGCGCTAACTGTTCTATGCCAACTAAAAGAATTTTGAATTCGTCATAATACGAGGAGAGTTTAAACAAAGATGTGGCACAAATAAGAGATTAGTTTATGAGGGCAAAGAGAAATTTGTAATTAAAAATTGCGAGGCGGACTCTTAATTCAATTTAAAGAAAATTTAAAGAGCTGTACGAATAAATATTTTCTACTATTACCATTTTTCCTGGAAAACTTTAAGTCAGACCTTAGTAAATAGTTGTTATAATTAGATATCGCGGATACTACTACTATTTTGACCGCAGCTGTATGCTTTTATGTTTTTTGACTATGTTTTCTAAAATTTGTTTCCCCCTTAATAAAAATCCTAAAATTATTCTAAGTATGGGGTTCGAAAGATAAAGAGTGTATCTTGAATAAAGAATAAAGTAAATTACTTTGATGTCGGTAAAAAATTGTTTATGGATCGGGAAAGATATTTATATTTTCAAGTATTTGTACACCATGTTGCTATAATAACTTTAAATGTAATATCAAGAAAAAACATTTTCAATTCTGCGGATTATTTTATTTAACAATTCATACATGGCTTTATAAAATATTCTTAATCTAAAGTATTCAAAACAAACTAAACCGAATTGAAAACTGCAAATAGTTTTCGCATTGTACAAAATGTAACTTCATTATTAAATTACCATAAAAACATTTAAGCTGTTCATTTCAGTTTGAAACTAACTATTAGGACATTCATGTTTTGTCAATATTTGATGCATTTTTGAGCTGAACCTTAGCAGTTTAACCGCATTTATTGTTTCTTTTAAGCTTAACTTTGTCTTTTAAGGGGTATACGAAAGTAGTTGTCAGTCTTTAAATTGAAATATTTAATGAAAAGGTTAGCGGCAAAGGACTCCCATATTAGGATCAGAAACATAAAATCAATTTCAAATACCAAAAATATTGTTAATCTTGTCGGTATAAATATCCTTTGTTTAAAATCTGAACTTTCGTTCATACACAGTAAAAATATTTAAAATATGTACAATTTATAACTTAAAACTTATCCAAATATAAAACCAGAAAATTCTTTCACATATCCACAATTATTAACAAAAAATCACACTTACCACTAGTCGATATTTATATATAAAGGGTTAGGTAGGGCTCGATCGATTTTTGTGACTCGGATTATAGGGATCAGAACAGGATCGGAAAATCAAAAAATTTGGTGATTATAAAAAAAAAAAAAATATTCAAAAAAAACGTTATACAAAACATTTGGAAAGTTCAATTTAGTAAGTAATTGTCTAAACTTAAATTACAAGTTTAAACTTTTTCTTGTGAGAATAAAATAATGGGTCTTTCATCATTTAAAAATAATTTGTCCAAATTTTAATTTTAAATAATAAAATAAATTTATAGAAATTCGGAATTTGAAATTATGCTTCCCTTCCCACCCAATCCCTGTTTTCTCGTATTACCATTTTCCAGATTGTAAACTGATTTTGATGCAATCTTACAGTTTACAAGCAATGGCTAATATGATAATATAAAAACCCTCGTTTCCTTTTATCCCTCAGTAAGTTTTAATTTTATGTTTTGTGGGAGATAACTTGTTATGAGAACCTTCGTTCCGCGTTGTCCTCTTGTGATGTCTTTCGATCGCTTGAGTATATCCGCTGCTGATTGACGTACAGCTGCAGTGGAGGAACCTGCCCGAGCAGTTGAATAGGAGGTGGGGGAGTAAGGTCCAGTGGCGTAGTAGACGCAGTGGAAGGACTCGTCGGTGTGGTGGAACTCATGCTCGAAGAGCTGGACCGAGCCGATAGAGACTGAGCTGATCGCGTTCTCCTGAGCGACTCTGCTCCCTTGGGAGATCTGCAGCTGCCCTGCTCCCCATAGCTATGAACTCTTCCAACCACTTTTAGGTTGGTTCTATAGGCTGGTTGATCCTGCGCCGCTTGGCTGTGGTAGGATTTTCTAAGTATAATGCAAATGGCCAAGAAGGGAATGGTTAGAATTCCACAAAAGCCCACGGCTATTATAAGCAGTACGTCCACACCCTCTGCTCGCCAAAAGTTCAAAGTGTTGGCGTGGGATTTCAGGAAATCGGCTCCTCCGGAATCCAATATAAGCTGAATCTTTCGTACTGCTTTTTTGGCTGGCGAGGAATCCCTGCTAATCAGTCGCTCCTTAAGTTGACCCAACTTCTCCAGGTAGCTGGTATTAAGTGTGAGTTGTCTTATCCCGTGAAGCAGGGAATCGTAGGCTACCGAGTCGTAGCCAACAGTCAGGGAGACTCCGTGGTGCTGCAATCGCTTGGCCATCACCTCCTGTTCGGCCAATATGGGTATGGCAAGTATGGGCTTTTGTCCATTTATCGATTCCCAAACGCTCAACTGTCCGCAGCTGCTAACGAACATCTTGACCTGCGGATGGTGCAGGATCGCCTGCTGTGGCCACCAATCAGCAATCATCACATTCTCGGGCAGCACTTGGTCCACCGCAAACTCCTCCTTCTCCCATTTCAACAGGATGTGGAACTCCTTGAGGTGGCCGAATACATCGAGTATGATGGCTAACTTTTCCTGCGGCAACTGAGCTGTTTGTACATCGGCGCCCAGACTGAAATAGATAACACCACTTGGAGCGGATTCCATAAACGTCAGAAGATGCTAAAAATAAAAAACATTAATGAAAAGAAATTTTTAAAAAATCCCTACTTACCTTTGGCAATTGGAGTTCATTTGAGTGGCTCAAGTGCAGGCCGCCCACTTCCACCATATTGGGTAAATAGGCACGTGGATAATGCAAGCCAGGATGTGAGTTGATCAAGGCCAAGCTCAAATTCTTTGTCAGATCCCTGTAGAGCGGCAGTTCCTTTACGAGCAACTCAAAGTGATTGGTGTACACGGATTGTTGGGAGATCAGGTGGAAAAAGCTGCGGAAATAATCGAAAATTAAAAAGTACAGCTAATAGTGGTATTTCAAATGGTTTAAGTATGTAAAAAATATATAAGACATGGCTCAATATAAATGTAAGTAATTTAACTACCTGGACCGATGAGCAATGAGCAAAATTGAATCTAAAAAGTACCATTTTGCTCATTCATTAGAGCTACTGTAAAATGGGATCAATAACAAAAATGATTTTGATGCTTTTTGGTTGAATTTTCCAATCTTTTACAATACAATTATTATTTTATCGGCCTAAATACTCCGTTGTGAACTAAAAATAACGCTCTCACTTCAAAATTAAGTCATTAATGCGTATAGAAATTTATTTAAAATGGCCTTTCTAAAAATTATTGCCGGATATTATAAAATTAAAAACAATTTCATATATTCTTTGTACAGCCCAAAACATTTTAAAAACGTGTTAAAAATGTCTGATTTCATGACAATACACACTATTATTTTACAGTTTTTAACCTTAATGATTCGGACAGTTAAAGTTATTTGAATTATAAAGTTTAAATTTTACGTTTAATTTTTAAGGGACCATACCATCCTATCCGAACAAATCCCAGTAAATGTATGTATATATATTTTTCCCTTTCATTAGATGCTTATATGAATGCTCTAATGAATGAGCCGAACAATGTCGTGGAATAGCCGCATAAATGGTTACAGACACATTGTTTTCTGACTTTTGGTAGAAATACTGAATATTAAACTACTCATTTTCATTCATACTTGTAGGTCAACCGCTCGAAGGTGCTCATCAGTGAGTTGAGGATCCTCTGTCTCGTGTTCATCCGCTCGGTGAAGGGCAGAAAATTGCTGGGATCCAAGGACGATGACTGGGGATTACCAAACATATTATTCAGCCAGGAATTGGCGCCGGTGGGACTGATTGCAACGGTGGGAATGCCATAGTAAAAGGCCAAGCTGCAAGAGGAGAGGTTTAAAATATAAAAAAAATTAAACTCTTAAGGAGAATCAACCCCCTTTTTAAACTCACCCTAGTAGAGCATCGCTTAGAAACAAATCCACGATGAGTAGGTCAAACTTTTCGCCACTAGTTAGGAGCTTCCGGACTTGCGAATCGGAGAGCAGAATGTCCACATTGGTGGTGCCGGCGTAGATCAGTCGGGTGAACCTTTCCATCACACTCTGTGATCGCATTTCCTCGGCCTCGAAACTCATGCCCATGTCCAGCCAGTTTTCCCGCAGGCCCTCGATTCGCAGCTCCCGGATCCTGGGAATCTCGAGATCCGCATTCTCCTGCGCTCCATGGGGACTGATCAAGGTCACCGAGTGATTGGCCGGACTCTCCACCAATTCCTGCAGCAATCTCCGGCCAAAGAGATAGTGCGATTTCCAGACACTGGGAAAAACGGCCAGGATATTGGCGCCTAGGACGAAGCCGCAGAGCAGCGTTGCCACGAACACTTGCAGGATTTGCATTTTGTGTTTGCTGATAAGATCCGCAGTGGCCTCAACATCCGCATCCGCATTCGTGTCTGTGTTTCTGCTTTTCCGGTTTTGTTTTGCAAAAATCACACACACACACACAAGCACTCAACACACACTCGCACACTCGCGGAGCCTCTGCTGGGCTTCTATTATTATCTGCTGCTTCTGCTTCTTGTTTCTCCGCCGATTCTCATCATCTTGCTGCCACAAGTCGGTGGCGCAATATCACAGGTGCTAATTAAACACACAGATTGCCAAATAAAATGCAGAAAGGCGCAACGAAAGTGAAAAGAACGGCAGCAACAACAGTGCGGCTGTGTCGGCGTTCTGTGAGAATGGCCATCAGTGATGTCGGGTTGGCTTCTGCAGCCAGAAAACTAGCTACTGAGCAGCTGAGAATGGCATCAGTGATGCTACGTTTTTAGCAACAAGTTAATTTAAGGAGAAGAAAATATACGAAAAAAGGAAAATTTATAATTTATCTACTTAAAATAAAAGCTTTAAAATGACTCTTTACAGTGAAACACTTTAAAATTCTTAGCATTGTTTTTAAGCAGTTTTTTTTTCTTTTAGAGATGAATAAATATTTACTATTGACACAATCTTCCAAAATGTGGTAAATGTAAATTAGCGATCGACTAATTTTAATTTGCTATTGTTGTTAATTTTCTTTCTAGCTATAAATTTATAGCTATTATCTTCAACACTTTTAGCTTAGCAATAGGTATTTTCCACCTGATAGGCGCAAGGTCATACTATTAAACCACCCCCTTCCACCGCCTCGTAAACAATTTGAATTAGCATTTACCTTTACTCGCGAGTTAGTCGCCGCTAAATTGGACTACAAAAAAGTGCTTAATTGGGTAATGCAGCATTTCCGAGGTGCAAGCGGATAAACAAGCAAGCAGAAAGGATAAACAAGAAGAGAAAAAAAGCAAAAAGAGAGCGGCAAACAAATTAGTTTTTTGCCATTTGGAAGTGTGCCAAAAAAACGGCAAGCAAGAAAAACAAAAACGGGACATTTGAACCGCATTACAAGGCAGAAAAGTGAAAAGAACAGCTGGCGGATCAGGTGCGTGGATGAAACAGAATCATTTGCTTTTAACGCGGCCCTAAGTAAACACCTAATGTGAAAATCGGGCCAAAAGCACAGCACAGAAACAACAACAAGCCGCAATAAACCGGCAATAAACCGCTGAAACTTACTGCTTACGTAAGCCACTCGCAATTACAGACAGTTAAACAAGTCGATCAACAGCCAAAATGTCGCAGGTATCAAGTAAGAATCAAATAAAACCCAAGCTTTAGCAGGGTTCTCTCAGAAATCCATCTGAATAAGATCCTAAAGTGGACCGTTACCAGGAAAAAATACAATTGTATCTTCTGTTAAAATCTTAAAAGTTAAAATTTCAATTTATTTGTATTTAAAAATTGAATTTGAATTTAAATTCTTTTTTGAAATTTGCAGTTTTTGACTCTCAGGAAATCAAAAATGTTTAAAATCTAATTTTTTAAATGCCAATTGCAATCTTTATCGCAAAACTCTTTTTTTTTTTAAAAAACGTACTTACTAAAACTTAAATAATTAAAATAAAATTTTACTGATATTGCGGCGAATGGAAACCGACCGATTTTTTCGTAGTGTGAACATTATTTCATACTTTTCGGACCATTATAGAGTTTAAATTTCTTAAATAATCCTTGATAAGGCATACATTTTTGAAAAAGTCTTTCATAAGTCTAAAATATTCAATCGCTTAGCATCAATCATGGATTTCTGTTAGCACCCAAAGATATTTTTAAAGAACTTAATAACTAAAATAATAATATTCCCAGCCCTTATCGATGTGGACAAGCCGCTCTTCGATCTCAGCACCTTTGCTGGGCGCTTCCAGTATTTCGCCTGGATGACGGATCCCCGGACCGTAATCCTCTCCAGCGATCGCCTGCTCGAAGCCAAGACCATGATTGAACGCTACCGGAAAGGTGATCAATCGCCGCAGGTGAAACCGGAGGAAGTACATTACAACATGAAGCTGTATAACTCGGCATTTCATCCGGATACTGGGGAACTGCAGAACTTTTGCGGTCGCATGAGTTTTCAGGCAAGTCTCGTGATGAATTTGGCACGTGGGGTGATGAAAATAGAATCGTCTGGCGTAGACGCTTGTGAATGGTTTGCCAAAAATACAGACCAAGCACGAAATAAATACTAGACGGATAAATAAATACTACGGAATTCGAAATCTTGAAGATTGATTACCAATTTTTTTTGTTCTTTATTTTTTATTTATTTTTTTTTTTATTGACAATTTTTAAGTTTTAAAATATTAATTTCGACAATTAATAACCTGTATATAATATTTCCTAGTTCGTACTGTATTTAAAAATTTGTATTTAAAATATTTATGTTTCAAAAATATTTTCGCCTACTGATAACTTTTTCTTTTGGTCGCAAAAGTTAACTCTCAGAGTCGTTTATCTAATATATTACTTTTTCTAATCTCTAGAGATTTTACAGACCTTGTCTGATATGATTATGAAATATGTATTTCAATACGGCTCTCTTTAGCGACAAAGTTCCGTTCGCCTCAAGAGTTTTCTAAGTGATCTGCTGACCATTTTAACTAATTGTTTTCCTTTTTTTTTAGGTGCCCGGTGGCATGTTGATCACCGGGGGCATGTTGGCCTTCTATCGCACCGTGCCCGCGGTGGTTCTTTGGCAGTTCATCAACCAGTCCTTCAATGCGGTGGTCAACTACACGAATCGCAATGCCAATTCGCCCACCAGCGTTACGCAGCTGGGCGTGGCCTATGTATCGGCCACGACATCGGCTCTAATAGCGGCTATCGGGTGTAAGAACTATTGGTCGAAGAAGGCGAGTCCGCTGTTCCAAAGATTTGTGCCCTTTGCTGCTGTGGCGGCGGCCAATTTTGTCAACATTCCGCTGATGCGACAGAATGAGATACTGAATGGCATCGAGGTGAAGAACGAGGACGGAGAGATTGTGGGCCAGAGTAGACTGGCAGCCATCAAGGGAATAGGCGAGGTGGTTGTATCCAGGATTGCGATGGCGGCGCCCGGAATGCTGGTGCTACCTTTGATAATGGAGAGGCTGGAGAAGCTGCCTGCTTACAGGCGCATCAAGTGGATAAACGCCCCATTCCAGACCCTGATGGTTGGCTGTTTGTAAGTGGCTATATTTACCATGTCTATTTCTTGAAGTTCAGCTATCCATTCTCCATTTCAGCCTCTGCTTCATGGTGCCCACTGCCTGTGCTCTGTTCCCACAGCAGTGCTCCCTGGACACTTCAACGATGCGCACCTTTGAGCCGGAACTCTATGAGGAAATCGAGAAGAAAACTCGGGGCAATGTGCCCAAACGTGTCTACTTCAACAAGGGTCTGTAGATGAGTTCGATATTAATTCTGGATTTGGAGGATGACAATAATGTGTTAGTCGTTTCCGTTTTATGTAGCATTTATTGTATCAGATCGCGCAATATTTTGCACTTGTTCCTTGTCTCTTGTCAATTGTCATAGTCGCTAAGCTATAAAGAATCTCAACTATATCATAAATTAATGTTCCAAGCGTGCTTCGGTTTTTGTTTTTTATCAATTTTAAATTAAAAATTTGTCCTGCGCTGTTTCTTTTTCAAAAGTGTCAAATAATTCTAAAACTAATTACATTATTTTAAAGTAAAATCCGAGGCACGGCAAGTACTTAATTGGTATTCAAATTAATTTACAGTTTTCAGGTAAATTTTGTGTTTTAAAATATTATCGGTAAAGGTATAAAAACTGGTATATTTGGAAATTTAGATCAATTTATTATTTTTGAAACTCATTGAAACTGAAATACTTGCCCAATGATATAATAAGAACTGAAACTCAAGCCATAAGATCCCTGCTAGCTATCTGTAAAGCTACAAATAAACCACCCAAGAAAATGCTTTATAGAGCCACTAATATCCTAATCCGTTATGTATTTCATTTTAGGACTAATTTACTCACTTGTTTTAAATAAATGTTTACAAAATAAAACAAATGTTCAACTGTAGTTTGTTCACGGGTTTTAAAAACGGTTTATTAGTTATTTTCTTGTATCCTGTATAAGTATATTTTTTATATATATAACGCTGCGGGGCTGTCGTTTATTTATATATTCGGTTTTCCTTCATCGTGTTGTAAAGTTTACAAAATGTGCAAAACACAACTAGGTAGCTATAGAATATTCGTCCTTAAACGTTGACAGAAGGGTAATCTTCTTTATTGTTTGACTATTTATCGATTGGTTTGCTAGCAACTGGAGGTTCCAGTGCTACCGCCACAAATAATGTTTGTTGGACTTTCTCAAGGTACAATTTCGATTTTCGTTAAACTTTAAATACTTATTTTTGGGTGTTTTTTCTTTTTTTTTGTGTTGGCACTGTCGCTTAATTTTCTCATTATCTTGGTGCTAAACATTGATGGAAAAATTCAACACTCAGATGTACAATATGTAAAATTTTTTATCTTACGCTAACAAAAACCAAAGAAGAAAAATAATCTCAGCAATTAGCCCATTAGCAACAAATGCGCTGCCTGGCAGCCGAGTTTTGAATCCATTTGCATTCGCTTGTAAAAAGTGGATCGCTTAGTGCCGTTCAAAAAATTGGAATTTGTCACATGGATCAGCAGACATTTCTTAATACATTTTCCGTTATCTCAATTTATTAAGTGGCAAAACGTTTGGCGCACAATTATTTACGGGTTGTTGGGACTTTTTTAATTTCGCATTTGATTTAAAACACGTATTCTATGCCATTCAAAAGTACATAATTGTATTCTTAGTTATTTTATACTGACTGAGGCTTTCAACATTAAATTGGCATTTTATTTTTGTATAATGCTTAAGTTATTTTACCCAGTTTTTTGGCGCTTAGCTGGGAAAGCTCGTTCAAAATCGTAGGGGTTTACATGCAAAAATCTTATGGGCTAGAGCAACTAGCTTAGCAAGCTTCCTTTTCAACAGGAACTTCAATCCGTATTTAGCTGCCTAATAAAAACTCATTCGTTTGCTTAAATAAAGCCATTTCTCTAATCAAAACTAGTCCCGTTTAGCAACGTCGGTTGCTTTACAATTAAAAACTCTTCAAAGTGGACATAATTTCTATGGTATGATATTGGATGATGAGTTCTATGGACTCTGAACTCGCAACTCGAGTTTTGTTCTACATTTCCCAAAGCATATCTATATCGCACTCTTGCGCACCCTTTGAAGGGGCTGCACTTAGTTCCTGAGCTTTAAAATTTAGAATATTCTGACCATTTCACTTACCACATGACCATCCCTCCCATCGTTATCAAATCGAATCAGTCGAGCTTTGGCTAGAAACCAATCCAAGCCTTGGGCCAAAGAAAGTTTTTCACCGTCATATGAATCCAACTAACCAATCCATTCTGGCATATCAACCTTTTTTATATCAAATTGTGTATTAAATCTCTGCTTTCCTCTACGTTTAAATATATTGTTTTTATATTGCGCACAGCCTTCTTTTTCCAAAAAAGTTTCTGGGATTATTTTACTTTTAGTTTTTTTTTTCTTGTTTGTATTACATGTAAACCATTCTTCAGATTTAGTTTGGTTTTTGTTTTGTTTCTTGAAACGTCACCTGATAAAATTTTGTACCAACATTGCCTGACTGGAAAACAGCTGACATACAACTTTATTCATATCCATTACATAACAAATTAATCATTTCATTTATTTCCATCTTGCTGTTCTCCAACTTTAACATATCATTAGTAGAATGTGTTTTTCTACAATCTAGACATATTTTCAATCCTTCCTAAAATCTCATACTTTTATGGTCTGTGCCAATATTTTTTAGACCACCCTTTAAAAAAACATAAAAAATGTTTTGCTTTTTGGCAAAAAGTTTTTTGTGTGGTTATTTGTGTTGTGCAAATGGTTGAATTTTATTTTCTTTGTTTTAGTGTTTTTTGTTTTGTTTTAAATTTTAAAAATTCTTCGATATTCGGGATTTTAGTTCACTTTACAATTATATGACTTGGCATTCGGTAATTAAGTGGTAGGTATATTTATATAATGGGTCTCCCTTTCGCGGCCCATCGCTCCGCATCTAACAAATTGTACATTTATAAACGATTTCGAGTTTTAGTAAAAATTTAAAACTAAAAATAAAACTATATGCCTAGAAAATCGGTTTAAAGTTAAATTTTTTATTTTTGCTTCGGCTTTCGTATATATTTATTCTCTTGACTTGGCTTAGGAGTTAAACACAAACATGTACACTGCGTATATATAAATATATTTTATATATTTTAGTATTTTCATTCTTTTTGTATAGTTGTAGTTGGTTTGCGTGTGGATAACATTGGATTTTGTTTGTATCTGACCTTAAAAATGTACTAAACATTAATTTATTTATGTGGTATTAATTAATATGTGTACGTTGGGTAGTTCCTCAAGACTTTGTACATGGTTTAAAGTTTGAATTCGTACCCCTATTGAATAAGCGGCTCATATGTATGTGTTCGAACGGATGTTTTGTGTGAGAACCAAGTTGGGAAAGGCTTTGCCGCTTAGGCCGCCTCCTCATCGTCTTCTCCGCCGGTTTCAATGTCCTCCTCGGCCATTTCCTGATCGCGATGCTGCACCACCTCCACCACGGAAACCGCCTCCGCCGTGGTCGTGGTCGATGTGGACGAACTGGTGGTGCTGGCCGGGGACATGTTATCCGGATTTACCGCCAGGCAAATGGGCGGCGGCGATGTGGCGACGGCCGCAGCAAGGATCTCCTGACTTGGCGGCAGCACGAAACTCTTACCGCCCAGCTGTTCTCATTTGAGACCCGTGTCTGACGGGGTCCAGCGGTCGAACTCGATGCCGGAGTCCGGCGAAACCCCCGTGGCCTTGGCCAAGTGGGCGGCCATAAAGCCGCCGGTTTGCATGCACTTGCAGTCCGGCGCAATGCAATTGCACGAGAACTTGGAGCCGCGTCCGCAACGCGAGGCCACCACACTGGGATTCGTCGCCAGGACATTGGACGCAGAGCCGGAGGATGCGGGGCCCAGTACCAGACCCACCACACTGGGGCCCATCATCCCGGACTCGTCCATCGCCTGCTCGTCACCCGGACTCAAGCGCAGTTGGCTCTCGAAGGACTGCAGCTGCTGCATGAAGTGGAAGTTGGGCGACACATCCGGCTTCCGGTCCCGCACCATCATAAAGGCGTCGTTGAGACTCAGGCCACGGGTGTGCATCAAGTAGGCGAGCGTCACGGTCACCGAGCGCGAAACCCCGGCCAGGCAGTGGACCAGCACTGCCGAGTTGGCGGACCGCGCTTCCTCTGTGGATTTTGGAAAAAAAAACAGAGCATTAGCTTTGAATTGGCAAAACAGGATGATATCATAGGCCCTCAACCATGTCACAAATCCTCGTCTCTTTTCAAATTTTAAATTGATTTTATTTGGGACTCCATGGAAGGTTATACTCAAAATAAAACAATTGACTTCTTTAAAAAAATATAATGACTAAAGTATCATTATTATTTGAGTTTGAAAAATTAAAATGAAAAGGAAAATATTAAAAAATTGTTGATATATAAATTACCATTATCTTTTGAGTTTGAAAAATTAAAATGAAGATAGTTAAATCAACAAATAAAACAAACTATTTGGAAAAGTTAAAAGAAAATAATAATAGAGGCATTTAAAGTCGTTATTGATATTGATTATTATACATCTTTAATTTAGGAACTATTTCGTACAGAAATAATAGAACCTTACCTATAAACTGTATGGCATCTGGGAAATGCATGGCCAAATCTTGTGAATAATGATCGGTGATGGGAATTTGCAGATATTTGATAATGCCCGACTTCTCAAACTCATTTGGCAAATCTGGTGTCACATTCAGCACGTACTGGAAAGGCAAAATGCAATAAAACACGCTTAGTAATTATGAAAGTTATAATAAAGCGCCACCAGGACTCACCTTAATGTTGTACTTTTGCAATGCATTCGAGTCGCAGCTGTGCGAGGCATTTCCCAGGAACAATAATCCTGGAATAATCTCCACAGGCGCCTCGTTGAAATTATGATGGTGGTGGTGATGATGGTGGCCGGTGCTCTCGCAATCCGAAGATTCAGCCGAACTGCTGCACGCGGAATCGGAATGCGTTGTGGAAATGCGTAGGGACCTGAAATAAATAAATAAAAGTTTAGTTTTAAGTATATCATGAATTCATTTTAAACATTAAGGCAACTCATTTTCAATGTTTCATCGTATGTATAATATAAAAAAGTACGTTAAAAAAATTTATAATAAAGTATAACTGATATTTCTGTGGTATTCCCGGTCGCGTTCATTAAACTTTCAAGAACATTTAAGATTAACGGGGTGTACAAAAAATTAAAAAACAAAATTCCGAGATTTCTGTAGTCAGTAAATTTGAACTTAATTTAACTTTGTTTTTGTTTTTTATATCCTATATTTTCCTCTTACCTTAGACCCATTAACTGATCGGTCTGTACGTTGCGACTAGATTCCATTTCTTTGTTGTGCGCCTGATTATCATCCTCGCACCATTCCGGAAATGCCTGGCGAAAACTGGAGAAGCCATCTGCAAGATAGAAAAAAGGAAAAGGGGAAACTTTAGAATGCTGTTTGAATCTCTCTAGCCTCTTTTGGCCAGCAGCATGTCATTTGAGGCCTCTGGAATTTGACGTTCGTTATGCTTGGCCAAGTGTAGCTTTTTGGTCTTTCGTCTTTGGTAAGGCAACACCTACACGACATGTTGCTGCTATTAACCCAACCTAACCCAAGTATGCGTGAAATTCTTGCAAGCGAATCATTCATAAAAAAAGGGAAAGAAGGAAAAGTTAGTGAAAATGTCTGGGGGAAATAATGGGGATCTTCTGTTTCTCCAATTGAAAACGGAAGTGCGACTGGTCGTATCAACGGAAATGCTGTTTCTATATTTTTAAGCTTGAGATTGGTATGGGAATTGTCATCAAAAAAGGCAAACGGCCACTGCTCATCAGCATAACGCAAAACGGAAGCTTACAATTTTCTACTTGCCGCATATTAAATGCGAAAAACAGCAAATTGAATAAAACGGAAGGCGCAGCAAAGAGTTCAGTTATTATCAACCTATTGGCCGGCCAACGGGTGGTATACGCACTCTGCCGGCTCAATCTGCACTTTCCGCAGAACTTTAAAAATAGCCCGAGATATAGCCGCCTCCTTGAAAAGCAGGAAAAGCCAAAGGGGGGAGGCTATTTTTGCACCGATTGCGAAGCGGCCATGGCCATGGATATCAATCCACAGTGTGACATGGCAAACTGCATTTGATAGCTATTTCCTGCTCAAACGAAGTTAGACCAACGTCGAGTTCCATCGAATTGATCGGAAGGAATAGATGGAAACAAGCTTTGAATAAAATGCAGAATAACGAGGAATTGTGGGATAAGCTTTTCACAGGAAAGGGCGTTTGTCATGGTTTTTTAAAAGTGGTCTAAGTTAAAATCTCTGCGAGCTTCCCAAAAATATTTTAGGTATATAATATAGTACGGTCATCCCCTCAATATTTCATCGTCTATCATTAATAAGCTCTTAAGCTGAAAATTGCACAGAGTTTTTAAAGTGTAATTAAAGTTTAAATAATAATTTAAATTGTTTTGGTGTTTAAATAAAGATTAGTACTATTAGAAATGCGAATTTTTTTAATTACCATAATTAATATTGTAAATTTTACTAATTATTTTAAATATTTCCTCTAATCTTACTCCATAAAGTAGTTTCCACTTAAAACCCGTAACCCCCTCCTACACTCACTTGTGTCCCATTTAGAACCTCAAATCACTTTACCGCTACAGGTAACTTTCCCTATAATAAACTAGCAGTCGTTCATATTCACAATTTATCTCTGCCTATATGGCAATCGTTTCCCCTCGTCTTCCACTTGTTTTACCCTCATATGGCTTATAATCACACACACACATCTGTGAGTTTGTGCGAGTATCTATATCTTTATAGTTCTTTTTATACCCGTTACTCGTAGAGTAAAAGGGTATACTAGATTCGTGCAAAAGTATGTAACAGGTAGAAGGAAGCGTTTCCGACCCTATAAACTATATATATTCTTGATCAGGATCACTAGCCGAGTCGATCTAGCCATGTCCGTCTGTCCGTCTGTCCGTCTGTCCGTCTGTCCGTCTGTCCGTCTGTCTGTCCGTCTGTCTGTCTGTATGAACGCTGAGATCTCGGAAACTATAAAAGCTAGAAGATTGACATTTTGCATGCAGATTCTAGGAGTTCCTACGCAGCGCAAGTTTGTTTCAAAAGGGTGCCACGCCCCCTCTAACGCCCACAATCGCTTATATACGATTTTAAAAATTTTAATATTTCGGAAAAGTAAAAATGCAGTTTTGTGGTGTTTATCAATACCTATCGAAATGTAGAAGAAATTTTTTAAATCGGACCATTCGTTAAAAAGTTACGGCGGATCAAAGTTTTTATCTCCTCCTTCGCACTTCCTTTAGCTGAGTAACGGGTATCTGATAGTCGGGGCACCCGACTATAGCGTTCTCTCTTGTTTATATTTTTTTGTCACGTTCTGTGTCACACTTGTGAGTGCTTTTGTGTTTAGATTGTTTCATTGATGAGTTCACACAAAACAAAGAAAAAACAAAACCACAAAAACAAACGTGAATAACAGTGGAAACGACCTTCAAAACGTTGGAAATGTAAACTTGAAAAAAAGCGCGTCAACAAATTGCTGAAATGAACAAAGCGTAAACTAAATACGAGCAAACAAAAAAGTGCTTTTGAGTATATTTCATATTTGTTAGAAAACCGGATTTTGACAACATCAGCACACCTGGAATGAAAGCACCCAGCAAACCACTAAGCCAGCAACCCACTTAAATGAACTCATCAACCTCGCCCCCACAGTGTTCCAAATTTGTTGCTATTATTTATAATTTTGAAGCTACATAAAAAAGGGAGATAAAAGTTGGGGGTTTAAACGATTTGTTCCGCTCATTCATTTTTTTTTGTGATATTAATATTTAATTATACTTTTTCCTCTTAAATTGACACAATAAAAAAAAACAATGAATGAGTTTTTTGAACGATTGGTTTCGCTCATTGGTTTTTTTAAGGGTAACATTATTTTATTTAAAAACCTCTAATCATTTTGTATTTATAAGGAATTTGAACACATATTTTGTTTGTACATTTTACATTTATTTACTAGTTTTTTACTTTTTGTTTTTGTTTATTTAATTACTATTATATTTATAAAAATGGCGTTTACTTTCGTGGAAAGATTTGTTCCGCTCATTCATTATTATTTTTATATTTGCTTGTTTTTAATTATAGTATGTATAACCTTTTTATACTACTTTTATTTTTTCTGCTTATCTGACTGTCCCGCTGGTTTTGTTTATCTCCGTGTGTAAATATAAAAAATAACAACGCCCGCAAAAAAGACAAAACGTGAGTTAAATAACTTTTAGCTCACTTCGCTGGGTTTCAACAGAGCCGCAGATACAACGAGCAGTCAGATACGAGCGCACACCCACAGCCGCAACGCTATTCATTCACAGGTACCACTTCAGAACCCCCAATCCCCCAAATTCCCCCGTTCACCCCTTTTTCCATTTTTTTTTTTGCTCCCAACGGATATGACGTAGGCGCGTCTTTCTACGCTTTTTTCTATTTTGCCGCATGAAAACAGTTAGAGAAGTGTTTTTCGAGGGGGGGAGCCCTTGTATGGTTTGCCATTCTGTGGGCGTTTTTCGAGTGTGTGCCTTGTTTAATTCATTTGCGGTTTCAGATGACGCAGATCCCTTAAGTGGAACAGTGGATGCAGAACCCGATACGCGACCAGACCCCAAAACCGAATTCATGCCCGAATCCCCAGCGAATCGAGAAACGTTCGTCGGTTTAGCCCATTGATGGATTCCGCAGAGCCCCCAAGCCGGAAGTTGAACACATGCATGCAGCGGAACACGGCGCAGAGCGAACATTTCTATTCCCATATCTATTTATATGGTTTTGTTTACGCCGGTTTCGAAAGTTTTCCGCGGAAATTTATAAATGGAATTTTGAGTTTGAGAGAAATGTAAAGAAAACAATTTTTTAGATTTTCAAAGGATACATCTTTTAAGATGAATTTGTCAATATAGGCTATTTAATTAATATGAATTAATATTATTTTCAACGCTAATTCAATATACATATCTAACTTCATTAAATCATTTTGAAATTTTCATTTAAAGAACTGTAAATTATACCGTTGCAAAAAGGATACATGTGCTATAACCTTTAAGTTTCGCTTTGAAAACTAAATACATAAACAAATAAATAAAAACTTTCATGTGGACCAAAAAATACTAAATATTGTTAAAATACTAAAATAAATTTTTTTTTTAACTTTATAATTTTGTTCTATTGTTTTGAAATCAAGAAAGACAATGTCGTAATCCCAATGAGTCCACTTTATTTCTCAACAACATGGTTTAACAAATTTCAAACTCACATTTTTAAAGATCTCAAAATTTCCATATTTTTTCCAAGCCTGTACACTGGAATTTTAAAGCTATTTAACTTCACATTTTTCCCCATTATTTCGTTCCATTCCCGAGGCCCACAATGCCTTTTTAATCACTCTCGGCCCATAAATTCTTCAGCCGCATTCCATGCACCGTAGCTCTTTTTTGTTAGAGTTTTCGAATTGTTTGTCGTAGGGATTGGAGCTGGGGGGAGTTTTGGAGTTGAAGAAATCGATATTACGCATACGCAATGTGTGCTGCGGTGGGTAAATGTTGTTTACTCGCACCCAGGTCGATTCGAATCTGGTGCTTTCTGGTCTGGCAAATGCATTCAGCCGGCCGTTGCACAATGCCAGATAGTCAGATACTCGGGTACTATAAATATATGGTACCTATATGTACATATATTGCTATATAAACACGCACGCATGTGTGCGTTTGTGAGGCGCTGGGTGGCAGAATGGGGAGTGCTGGCATGAATGAAAAACCAGACCACGAGACAACGCCTGCAGTTCAATGCTATTTGTCAATGAGTCAGTAGTCAGCAGTCGTCGCTTTTCGATTTCAACTGGAATGAGGAAAGAGGAATGAGGAACGAGGAAGAGCCGTAAAACACAACGGCCACCATAATGCGAGTCCCATTTGGGGCCCCATATCCATTAGCCATATGCATATAGAGCATTTAGTATCTCCCATCGATGTGGGCGGGTGCGTGTGCTTTTCCCCCACCCAACGTGGCCCCAATTTTGTTTACATTTTTCTTCTTTCCCCAAAAAAAATTGAATTTTTTATGTTTTTCACTGAGGGAAAATTATAGAATTTTTATATAGATTATATTCCTAAACTTTCAGTTATAATGCATTAAATCGGTAATTCTCTGTAATTGTAAATTTAAAAAGATATCGGAGAATTTGTACATTTCCAAGCTATATTAAATAACAAAAGAATGTTAAAAAGGAAATTATTTTTCTTCGTGTTTCCGTGCTCTTATTCATGAGGCACATTTTTTCCAGCTTGGCATAAACAAAGTGCAGAGGAAAATAAGTCAGAGATAGAAAAAAAC